TCTGTATCGCAAGAAATAAAATGGGCTCATTTCCAGGTTATTAAAACTATATAGCTATTTAGTTAGGACTTTCGGTTTTACTTTCAGATGTAACACGTAACTGCTCTAGCTAACCATCGCATAACTGCTGCTTTCACTGCCTACTTTGTTTTGAAAATCTCATCACCGGAACCTTTCGTAAAACGTATTGCATTGACAGTCAAGCACTCACTCACGGCATATCAGCTGTATCAGCGAGAGGAGTACTGACCTAATTTGGAGAGCAGGGGACAACAAGAGACGAGACTACACATCGGAACGAGCAGCTGAAGAGAAAGTCTACCATTTTTTGTTTGTGTAAGTCCGTGCACGCATTCTCTCTCTTGTGTTACTGGGGGCAGTTGCCGTTAAAACGCATTGTGTAGGGTCCGATGAGAGATGTCAGCAGCTGTTAGCCTCAAGGTGCCTTGGATGCGAGTGATCCCGGGATTAAACAGGTGAAATACCTTACGGTGCGCTACTTCAACCTTCCCGTGTCAGTGCTTGGACGTCGACATGCCTTGTAAAAACATAACATCTGCTAAATGCGCGCAAGTGGCACTTGGGTTAATACATCAACCCCCCACACAGTTGTTTATAATATTATGACAGTGCAGCAGACTGTGCTGTGGGAAGATACCGGCCTGTATTGAATTATCTGACAGCTGAACACGTCTTGTCCTGTCTTGAGTAAATCTGAGTGATTTGTCAGTTTCCCAAGATACATAATGCACGAGCCCACCATTTTGTCTTAGTAGTGTGAGGGTTTTTGTTTTTTTGTTTTTGTTTTTTTCAGTGCGTTTACTCACGCGTCTCATTTGACTTGACAGACTTTCATTCATATAGTCAAACATGCACCAATTTGCGCTTTAAGTAGTCCATTACGCGCTGCACGGGAATAAGAAGAGACAAGAGTGGAGCTTAGTCAGCAAATCGGGGTTATTTTGTTTGTTTTATCAGTCATTTAGTTGACAAAATAAAATAGGCCAGCAGAGGCTGAAGTAATGTTCTTTATTTAGTCCCTCTACGTTTCATCTCTGATATGAAGCTGGTAGATTCAGTGAGGCAAATACTTGGTGTTATGAAATCACTAAGAATGACTTTTAGTTGTTGTTGTTGTTGTTATCATATGATTAAAATGTGTACACATGTCAATAAAAAACCAAGAACAGGCAACATAGACCATAAACAAAATAACTGAAAGCAGATAAACGGACAGTAAAAAGATATCACTGATGAGAAGACATAAAAGGCCGAATTTAAAAGTATTAAAAGGACTTTTTAAGGAGATTTGCAAGCCTTCTCACCTCAGGCAGGTCACTCCAAAGCCAAGGGGACTTGATGGCAACACCATTAAATTTAAATCTAAGGAGCAACCAAGAGCTCAAACGGGGGTCAAAATTTCTGCTATGTAACCTGAGAGCCAGACCCAGATGTACTTTAGAAGTGAATCCAGTTTCAGTTGCTCCGTTTAAAATACATAATGATTTCACGGAAATCATATGAGTGCTTGCAAATGGCACACGTTTGTTACCCAAGATTAACTTGAACTAGAATGATGTGAAGAGAAAATTATGGAATATGATCCAAAGCATACAACATTATCTGTCTAACATGATAGAGGCAGTGTTGTGGCATTGGTGTGTATGGCTGTGGAACAAAGTCACTAGTGTTCCCTGTGACTGCTGATAGAAGGAGCAGGATGAATTTTGAAGTCTACAGGACTTTACTCTCTGCTCAGACTCAGCAAAAATGCTGCAGACCTGATCAGACAGTACTGCACAGTGCAAACTGAAAATGATTTAAAGCAAACTGAAAAAGCAACCCAAGAGTTTCTCAAGGAAAAGAAATGGGATATTCATCAATGGC